CAGCCATGATGCGTCCTCAGGTGACAGCTCATGCAACTCTGCAGTCCAGGTGTTGCTTGTGACGATCATCATCGTGCCATAGACCCAACCCTTGTAAGAGTAGCAATTCGTGTTGGAGCTGGCCAGTTCCAGTGGTTGCACACCACCCTGGAAAAGCTTCTTGTGCCGGAGAACCATGGCACAAGATGCCTCATCAAACACGATCGCGCGATGAACATCATTGTTGAAGTCCCGCAAATTGGGTTCCATGGACGATGCACAATTCAACTCCAGAGTGTGTTCGGGTCCTGCAAGGCTGGAGGTCGTCTTGCCGAGCTTCGTGGGTCCGTCCAGCACCAAGAAGCGTCGTCTGAAAGCATCCACCTGGAATTGAGGCAAGAACTCTTGTTCCACTGGTTCCAGATACACCCGAGGACGATGCATGCGGAGCAAGGCTGCCTGTGCTGCAGCCTGGCGTTCCTGCAAGTTGCTCTGCTGGGTCATCTGGACCTGTGATGTGACATTGTCACAATACTGTTTGACGTGCTTTTTTTTTTTTTTTTAGAGTTCCTTGGCCGATTCCGGAGACAATTTATCCCCTTGCCACATGCTTGTGATCCATTCTGGAGACACTGCATAGGACTTGAACGGTGGTGCATTTGTGGCATGGAGTATGGCACCTGTCTTGAGCGGAGTCAAGTAAAAGTGCCCCTGATCATAGTCTCGTTTGCAAGCCCGTCCGCGGGCGACTGGTGCTGCAAGCGACCTGAAAGCGACCTGTACGGCTGCGAGTTGCGAAACTTCAATCCAGGCTCATTTCGAAATGAGATGGTCTTGCCAATGGCATCAAACATAAAATGTATGTGTACCAATGGAATGGGAGGGTTGGCCGCAAGCGAAGCTTCCACATGTAGCTCCATGGCTGCAGTCCAGCGCGTGATAGGTGTGCTTGACACCAGCTGCTGCCTGAAGGCCGAGAACTCGTCCCACAATCCTTGCACATAGGGGTGACACTTGAGGCGACTGCATACCTCAGAAATGCCATTGTGACCCTTCGCAACCAGCACCGCCGACATTGCGGCATCGTCCACACGGCTCCACGACCCTGAATACCGAAACATAGTCCCACTGCCACGGTACGAACTCATGACATCCTCCTCCACCTCATGTGGGCCACGGAGGGGCGTATCAGATGTCCAAGCCATGATTAGACGGGTGGCTGCTGCATGAAGCCGGGGTGGTACCTGCCCAGACTCCAGCATGGAACTCAGCATCTGACGCTTGTTGGCGGCTGAGGTGAACTCTCGTTTGGCCGCAGCACGTGCATCCTGACCCCCACGTCCATGCTCGGCAAGGTAGGAGGCAACCCACTTGTCTCTCACAAGCGTTCTCACCTGCCCAAGCTCATCACTCGACGGCGCGGCAGGAAGAGGCTGCTTATATAGCAAACGCCGGCGCTTCATTGAAGCAACTTTGGGCCACGCGCCAACGGCAGAACAGATCACTGGATGTCCAAAACTGTGGAAAGGAATGGAAAGGGAACACCAAACCTGTCAGAACCCTTGCGACTTCCACGTTTCTGGTGGAAAACAGAGCGGAAAGGAACGCAAAGGAACCTTCCAGATGGAAATCCCCCTAGTGGGGAAGGCATTCCTTTTTTCCCGCTGTGGGAAATAGAATTATTATTCTCCCAGAGCAGAAAAAAAGGAACGCCTCACGGGGCTCACTGTGGCCTTCCAGCTACTAGTGGTCTCCAGTCCTTCGGCCCAGGTGGACGATGGCATGTCTTTTTCTTGGTGGATCCACGCTTGAGCGACCAGAAGAGCGTCCTGTGAGCAATAAAACTGGGGAGACAAAGCGAGCAACATGAGCAGCGCATCCCGAGCAAAATGAAACCAAGGAGGGGGGTAGCGAGCAAAACAGGCATCTCTTTGCATCGTGCGGCGCTTCTACGCTGTGAAGTGTACGTGGTGGGAGCAGGACAATGCCGAAGTGTAAATTGCGTCAACGCCTGCTCTGCAAGCTACAAAGCAAGGAGCGGCTGGACTTTTGCCCTGTTCAGTCACAAATCCGATGGAAGTCAAGCAAGCCTCGGCAACTGCACTGCCTGCAGTTTCATTCTGAAAACAAAGCTGCACTGCACGCACGCTCCACAGCACGACACAGCAACATTCAGTCTTCAAACTGCCGCTGCACTGCACTGCTGTCTCTACCGCGTTAAAGCAACACTTCAGAGCACGACGCCACTAACATCGCTCTCTATCACGTAGCAGCACTCCAGACCATGACTTGTTCTGAGTCTGTCAATCTCAGGTCGCGACCGATGCGTCAGAAATCAGAAAAGCCTAGGGAACTGCGCTTGATTTACCTGATGCTACACTGTACTGTTGTCTCTAGTCAGTCTTGAAACTGCGGCTGCACTGCACTGCTGTCTCTACCGCGTTATAGCAGCACTTTAGAGCACGACGCCACTAACCTCGCTCTCCATCACGTAGCGGCACTCCAAACCATGACTGGGACTGTTCTCAGTGTGTCAATCTCAGGTCGCGACCGATGTGTCAGAAATCAGAAAAACCTAGGGAGCAGCGCTTGATTTACCCGGTGCTACACTGTACTGTTGTCTCTACTCAATCTTCAATTGCCGCTGCACTGCACTGCTGTCTCTACCGCGTTAACAGCACTCCAGAGCGCCACACCACGTAAAACTGGATTTGCAGAGTCTCCAGCTATTCTTTGGAAGCGTGTTCTTGGCAGAAGTCTAAAAATCTCCGCTCAAAACCAGAAAATAACACCTTCAACCCTAAAAGGAGATGTTGGTTGGGAAACCCCAGATGTGTTGAGGAACCCTAAACCCTAAAAGGAGCTGAACTGAAAGAGCAACCCTGCGAAGAGTCTTGAATTGCCGCCGCACTGCTGTCTCTGCCGCGTTAGCAGCACTCCAGAGCACGACACCACGAACACTGCCCTTTACCGCGTTAGCAACTCAAAAGGTTGCAATTATGTCCTAAATCTCAAAAGTTTGATCCGATGCAATATCTTCCCAAATATGACAGCACGACGCGGCTACTTGCAAGAACGGCCGCAACAGCACAGAGAGAGGCTTGGATCTCAGGTCACGACTGATCCGTCGCAAAAAAAAATCACACCTCAAGAACGGCGCATCATTGAGCTGATGCTGCACTGCGCTGCTGTCTTCAGTCTTCAGATGCACTGCACTGCGCTGCACTGCACTGCTGTCCCTACCATCGTTTACAGCACTCCAGAGCACATCTCAAAAGCCCGATCCGATGCAATTATGTCCTAAATCTCAAAAGGTTGATCCGATGCAATATCTTCCCAAATATGACAGCACGACGCGGCTACTTGCAAGAACGGCCGCAACAGCACAGAGAAAGGCTTGGATCTCAGGTCACGACTGATCCGTGGCAAAAAAAATCACACCTCAAGAACGGCGCATTATTGAGCTGATGCTGCACTGCGCTGCTGTCTTCAGTCTTCAGATGCACTGCACTGCGCTGCACTGCACTGCTGTCCCTAGCATCGTTTACAGCACTCCAGAGCACATCTCAAAAGCTTGATCCGATGCAATTATGTCCTAAATCTCAAAAGGTTGATCCGATGCAATATCTTCCCAAATATGACAGCACGACGCGGCTACTTGCAAGAACGGCCGCAACAGCACAGAGAGAGGCTTGGATCTCAGGTCACGACTGATCCGTCGCAAAAAAAATCACACCTCAAGAACGGCGCAGTATTTGCTGCACTGCACTACTGTCTTCAGTCGTCAGATGCCGCTGTACTGCACTGCACTGCTGTCTCTACCATCGCTAGCAGTACTCCAGAGCACATCTCAAAAGGTTGATCCGAAGCAATAACTTCCTATTTCTCAAAAGTTTGATTCGATGCAATATCTTCCGAAATCTCAAAAGCTTGATCCGATGCAATATTTTCCTAAATAGGACAGCAGGGCTTGCAAGAACGGCCGCAACAACGCAGAGACAGGCTAGCATCTCAGGTCACGACCGATCCAGACAAAGCACACCATTGTTGAGCTCATGCTGCCGTGCACTGCTGTCTTCAGTCTTCCCCAAAGCACATTAACAATGTTCTTGCCAAAAGTCTGAACATGTTAGGACAAAAGCATCACGGCTACGACTTGTTACTTGCAAAAGAGCGAATGAAAACTTCACAGGACTACTGCCACAATCTCCGACATCATTTCAGCAAAACAAAGCAGCAATATTTTCAAGGCACGTGTCGCTGCATCTGCTTCTCTTGCAGAAAGCAGCAACAGCACAGGCGTTTAGAGTGCAGAAGAAAAGTTTGGAGTCTGCACAAACTTGTCGACTTCAGAAGAAGTCTGCAGATTATCAAGAGCATCAGCTGCGGGAGTGAGAAACGAGGGAAAAAAAAAAAAAAAAACAGTTTCTAGAAGCTTCCAGCTCCCACTCTCAGAGAACTGGTTGCCTCTTTTCTACAAGAAGCCCTAGCAAGTCTGCCTCGCTCAGCTTTCGTGCCACCGCCCGCGCTTTTTTGAGCTTTTTTGTTTCGGCCTTTACCCCCTTGCTCAGCTGCTTGGCTTGTACCTGGAGAGGCACACAAGGCTGTACAAGAAAGGGCCTGAGCCTCCTAAGACACACAATGCTGTGAGCCTTCGCAGCTGCCCTGGCAGCTTTTAGGGCAGCAAGGCGTTCGTTCAGCGTTTCCTGCGTAGATACGAGTGAGCAGCTGCTCCTGTGGATGCTTTTTTGGCATGGCTACCTGGGGCAGTTCCACACGGTCGGGCTCTCGTGGAAGCTCAGGTCCCGCAACCTCGGCCTCGGGCGGGGCGCTTTGTTTCAGCAGGGGTGCTGTGAAACAGTGTTGACCTGCCTCGTTGTTTGCCATGCCTTCAGCACGGTGTTTTAAGGCAGGGTTTGCTGGAGCCAAGCAGAGAACTCAGCAAGCGCCATATTAACTGCTTGATGGCCGGAGCCAAAATCAGAGTGCTTGGCAGCAGCTGATACGCTAGGGGCACAAGTCGTTCCTGTACAGTACTCACTCAAACAGCAGTGCACAGCCACTCTGTCCCTTGGCCTGTTCCTACCGGCACGAGCGAAGCGAGGGTCGGCGGAAAACAGCAACAGTGCAGTCAGAGCAACACGCACTTCTTCAAGGATGCCCAAAAAGCATCTCTACAGAGGAGGCCCTTCCAAGCATCCTAGAGAACAGCTTCCGGAATTGGCTCCGTAATTCAGGCGTTCTTTTGGCCCATGTGTTGCAACGATGTCCGACGTGGAAGCACCTCCTGTTCCTCCCCCTCAAAGAGTGGAGTTGCCACAGGAGTGTAGAACGTCCTTCGTAAATAAATGGTCCTTCCTCGTCTGCCTGTTGCTAGGAGACTTTGTCCGCCCGTCTGGCCCGCCTGCGACAAGAGCGTCAGGATGCAAAGGTGTGGTATTGTCTGTGTTTCGTCCAAAGCAGGTAGAAGCGCGCACAGTCGCTAAGATCCTGAAAGCAAAGCAAAAACGACTTCGCAAGGCATGGTTCTGTCTGCTGCCCCGTCGAATGTACAGAGGAGGCCCTTCCAAGCATCCTCGAGAATAGCTTCCGGAATTGGCTCCGTGATTCGAGCGTTCCTATTGGCCCATGTGTTGCAACGATGTCCGACGTGGAAGCACCTCCTGTCCCTCCCCCTCAAAGAGTGGAGTTGCCGCAGGAGTGTAGAACGTCCTTCGTAAATAAATGGTCCTTCCTCGTCTGCCTGTTGCTAGGAGACTTTGTCCGCCCGTCTGGCCCGCCTGCGACAAGAGCGTCAGGATGCAAAGGTGTGGTATTGTCTGTGTTTCGTCCAAAGCAGGTAGAAGCGCGCACAGTCGCTAAGATCCTGAAAGCAAAGCAAAAACGACTTCGCAAGGCATGGTTCTGTCTGCTGCCCCGTCGAATGTAGATGCTAGAACTTGCCCAGGGCAAAACAGTAGCGCGGCAGCTTTCTGAATCGCAGTCATTTTATAACCCTTGTCGTTTCTCACACGATGGCGCGAATGTTTTAACGCGCGTTGAGCCCGCTGAGAGTGATCAGCGGTCAGTGAGCTTCGCTGTCGCCTCTCTGGTGTTGAACTGTTGCCCCAGCAGCGAGTATCTGTTGAGCAGTGACTAAGCTCTGCCAGCTTTTAGTACGTGAGTCAGTGAGTGTGAGTGAGTGAGCTTTGCTGTGACGAACGGTTGCCTGCAGCGCGTAAATTCTTCTTCGATGTCGGGTGAGCAGTGACCAAGCTTCACTCTTTCTTTTCCAGGGGAATGAATGTTGACGGCTTTGATCCCGGCGCTGAGAGTGATCAGCGGTGCGACTTTGCTGTGACCCGAACTGTTGCGTGAGCAGCTAGTAACTTCTTCGTCTTCGGTTGAGCGTGAGCCTTGCTGTGACCCGAGCTGTTGCGTCAGTTACTAAACTTTTCGGTTCAGCAGTGTGCAAGCCTTGTCT